GTGGCTTCGCCTTTCTCCCCGAGACCAAGCTGAGCTTCGCCTTCCATTAATGTCACTGTCGTTTTATGTGGACTTTCCCAAAGGCCTCCCTCAGAGCGCCCAGGAGAATGACCCAGAGCCTCTCCTTTTGGTCCCACGGGGGAGGAAGGAAAGCTGCAGAGATGGCATCTTCATTTCATTGCCATCGCGTCTCATGGCACATCCAGTGCAGGGAGACGAGGTGAACACCCGGGGAGTCCAGACAAGACTCCTGAGTCCCCTGGGGGCCACGCGACCCTTCCCGGCAGCTCGTGCACTGTGGGTGTTCGAGGCTGCGGGGCCCTCTGACAGCTCACGGGGGTTGTGGGGCTCCCACCGAGCGCCCGAGCCAAGGCCCTGTTTATTATCGTTACTGCATTTTGCTGTCAGGCCACACGGCAGTGGGAGGATCGTTTCTCATGATGCCGGGAGAGTAGAGATGGATGCCACGGGTGAAGTGGACAGAAAGGTCCCTTCCCTCTGCAAGAAACCCGCCCTTTGTCGTCTTAGGGCCCCAGGTGTCGCAGCCCTTTGGCCCCCGCGGGTCAGCGCAGCCCTGCCCCCGGTGTGTAAGTCCCCTGGGCAGCAGCAGCTGGCACGAGGAATGACAGCCGCCTGTCACTGTCGCTGACGAAATAACCATCACCTGCGATCTCTCGTGATTCCCACACACATTTCCGTGTTTTAATTTCTTTCTGTTGCTGACATTTAACAGAGTTCTACTTGTTTTTCCTCTAACCCGGATCTGTGCATGTGACTTGGAAATTTGAACCTTTGTGTGTCCCTGAGCTGTGATTCAGTAACTTCTCACATCTCCCTGCTCGGGAGCAGCTGCTGAGGGCTGTGTGAGCGAGGGGAGGCCGGCAAGGTTTGACTGTGGACAGCACTCGGTGTCGCAGGCCTGTCCACCCGCTCTCAGGACCTGCGACAGGTTCTGGAGGCTTCAGGCTGGACAGAGCCCTCAGTTTCTCCCCTGGAAAATGAGAGAGGAAGAATTGACTTTGCTGTCAACCACTACTCCTATTTTAGGATTCAGAGTTCTTCTGAATAAATGAAACAAGAAAAAGAAATCTTTCCTATCACTTAATTACATCCCAGTCTTGGCTTCTAATTATTAAGTAAAAATACCCTTTATTTAAAGGGTTTTTAAATAATAACTCCCTTTATTTAAAGGGTTTTTAAATAGTCGACTCCCACTATTCTACACGGCTGGTTAGGCCACGAAACACAGCCTCGATTGTAGACTATGACCGCCACTGTTTGGGATTTTCCTCTTGCATTCGAATATGGGAGTTTGAAATTCTGTTAACACTTCCACCCCAGAGTGGAAGAGCTGCCCGGGTCTTGTCCTGCCCCTTGGCTCCACGCTGGAGATGGCACCGTGTTCCCTGAGGCAGAGGAGGGAGCCGGGCAGCCAGCGGATGAGGTCACGGCCGATGGAGGGACCTTCTCTGCGGGGAGACGGTGCTCCTGCTGTAGTGGAAACAAGGATCCCGGTTCTGCCAATAAGAGATTTGCTAAAGCAGAGTAGGCGACCAGCTCTCGAGAAAACTGCGCCCCAGCTGCTGGATGGGTTGTGGTTTTAGCCTTTGAACTCGGCGAGCAGTCATAGCCACATTTGGGGTCAGGAACCTCAACAAGACACGAGCTTCATCGTTCCTAATGCGAGTCTGGAGCTGTGGCCAGGTTGCTGGAAACTCGTATTTTAGAAACTTCAGTGTTAAAGACTCTTCCTCTGTCTTTTAGGATCTGAGCTGCCTCTTTGAATTATACCTGGAGCCACTTCAAAATGAGACCTTTCTTACCCAAGATGAGGTAAATGATCCCCTTCCCTCTGTCCTTCTGCTTGCCCTGTAGCGGACCTCCTAGGAGAGTCTATCTACTGATCCCCAACATCCAAGACTTCAGGGTCTTCAGAGAGACCCAAGTGTGGCCGCCTCCACAGCCGTGGATGTGGCCTCTGTGGCATGAAGCAAAGTGGCACAGTCACAAATGCAAGGGGCGGTCCTGCCCTTTTTGTAGAGAAGGTGTGGCCAAAAATTACATTTTTTTGTGCATGACATTTTAAGGTTAAATCACAGGAGTTATGTTCCTTTCTACTGACTTTCATTTTTCCCCAATTTGAATTCTGAAAATTTTGCATCCACTTAAAAAGTTATTTTAGCATTACGGGACCAGAGCTGTAAATTCTCTGTGTAAAAAGTACACCTCATAATGAATTTTCTGTATTCTTTAAAGGAGCGATTTCTGTCTGCTTCTCTGCGAATGGCTCGTGATCTGTGTGTGCATTGGAGCATTAACGTGGGTTTAGATCTCCGTTGCTAACACCCTTTTCAAATCCCGGTTTTCACGTAGATGGAGTCACTTTTCGGAAGTTTGCCAGAGATGCTCGAATTTCAGAAGGTGTTTCTGGAGACTCTGGAGGATGGGATTTCAGCGTCCTCTGACTTTAACGCACTTGAAACCCCCTCGCAGTTTAGAGTAAGTATTTTAGTCTTGGTCGAAAGCAGAGAGTGGTGGGGACAGTGTGGAATTTTCCCTTGGAAAAGCATTTGCTGTCCCCGGGCTACGCACAGGATACATTTAGCACTGTTTCCCTGGGGCAGGTGGAAAGCGTGGGCCACGTTGGTCCCGCAGTCGGTGCTCAGGTGACCAGAAGTCTGTGCAGCGAGGTTTCCGGGCCCGGTGCCTGGGCGGTGTCCGGGCTTCCGCTCAAGGCACCTAAAGGGTGTGCAGGCCTCTGATCCTGGAGCACCTGCTGCCCCGACTCTTCACCTGCGTGGCCATGGGACCCTGGGATGAAGAGATGGGTACACTGTCCTGTGGAGCCCCGTCTCCCACGTGAGCACCGCAGGGAAGGCACAGCGAGGCCCAGGGAGGGACACGGCTGACATCGTGCATCCCACGCAAGGCAGAGTCGGCTTCCCTCGCGAGCCTCTCGGCTCATTTCCGTCCCTCTGTCAGATCCGTTTTATAGAACTTCCTCTCGTCCTTGGATTGCACGCCGTGTCTGTGGGCTCCTCTGTCGGGGGTCCCCCAGACCTGCTGGGGGATCGCCCAGCTGTGCTGCGTCTGCTGGGCTCCTGGGGCCGTCGGGCTTGTTCCCGTTGGTGACTCCTCCAGGCATTAGGGCTCTGGTGTCTGAAAGGCAAGTGCCCCGGAGACGCCAGAGCCGTCAGCTGCCTCGCCAGCGCCCGCAGACGCCGACTGAACCGCGTCTGACCGACTTCTCCCCCCCTTTCTAGAAATTACTGTTCTCCCTGGGAGGCTCTTTCCTTTACTATGCCGACCACTTCAAGCTGTACAGCGGATTCTGTGCCAATCACATTAAAGTGCAGAAGGTCCTAGAGCGAGGTGAGTTGCTCCTGACTTTGGAAGCTGTGCTTTTTGTATTTTTAATTGTTAACGAAGAATAAACGTGTGTCTGACAAGTAGCAACAAGTGCAATTTTAATGGATCGCGTTCCATTCCTGACCCTGAAGCTGACACAGACATTAAAGGGAATGTTTTTATTTCAACCTGTTGGTGAAAGTGAACACCTGTCCCCAGAGCGGAGTGTGGCTTTGCCGCGTCACACTTCGCTGTTAAATTACATTGGATTCTTTTTCGCCGGATTCCTTGATCTAAAAACTTGGGACCGTAAGCCCCTGGTTGGGGGTAGGACATGTACACCGTTTCCTTCCTTTCCTGTAACCTCACTCTCAGCCCCAGAAATCACTGCGACCCCCACCGGCAAGCTCACGAGAAGCGAGGTAACTAAGAGTAAAGCGTCATAGGTAGAACTGGGAAAACTCACACTTGTTACAGCTCACTTCCTGCCACTGACGTACCTCATCTCGCCCCGCTTCTGTCATATTACTTCATTTTATTGGCTTCCATTGAAGACTTTTACTTTTTTAAGTCCAAGTAGACCTGGGTGGTCAACCCTCGTGGCTCTTCCCTCAGCCGACAGCCGGCGTCACTCTGTGGCGCTGACAGATGCCTGAGCCTTGGGCTCTGACCTGCAGCGGGGCGCTGGGGGCCAGCAGCCGGGCGTCGATCACTTGGGCCTGCAGTCGTGGGCCGGCCGGTCGTCCAGTCTGGAAAGAGGGCTCCTCTTCGGTGCTGGACTGTGCTCCTCCCGCAGCTCGGGAGCTCCCTTTGCCCGTGGATTCACACTGGGGTGCCGAATCCGGGCTGACAGCTGGGCGCCTGACCCCCGATGCACTGGGCACTTTACTCCGCACCGGCGTTGGGAGGACTGTGGACGTGGCCGACCTGTAACTCCGTTAAACACTAAGTGAATGGAAGCGAAGCGTCCCGCTGTGCTCTCCTAAGGGTCTCTTACCGTGTGCTTGCAGCTAAAACTGACAACGCCTTCAAGGCCTTCCTGGATGCCCGGAACCCCACCAAGCAGCACTCGTCCACGCTGGAGTCCTACCTCATCAAGCCCGTGCAGAGAGTGCTCAAGTACCCGCTGCTGCTCCGGGAGCTGGTGTCCCTGATGGACCACGACAGCGAGGAGCACTACCACCTGACAGGTGAGGCCGGGGCACGCTCGTGCGGGGCTGCTGAGCTGCAGCTCGCCCCTCGTGCTCCAAAACATTTCAGCACTACGATCGCTAACCTCAGGTATAATTTTAGTATGTGGAAAAAGCTAGATATAGGGCCATCCCTACAGATGGCAAAAATGTTCTCCCTGGAGTTAGCCCCAAGCCCACCTGGAGGGATGAGTCCATTTTCATTGTTAAAAGGTAATTTTTAAATTAGCCCAGTGGTGCGAGATGGGTCCGTGCAGGTCGCTTGCTCAGCAGGCAGCCGTGAGAACCGGAAACCAGGCCTCTCTCCTTCCCTGAAGGGCTGCGGCCTCCAATATGTTGGGTGCGGCTCCACCTTGTGGAAATCTGCGAGCAGAGCCGGACTCGGAAACAAACTCCTAAGGACGGATGATACTTTTTTTAAAAAATTAACTTCATTGTTGAAAGTATTAGATACTGAGGGGACACATCTTCTCTTGTCACCTCGGAAACTGTCAGCCTAATGTACAGTTTGTCCCTTACACAGAGGCCCTCGGTTTGATGGCAGTGTCCCTGAAGGAAAGGCTGAGCTGGATGAGAGAAACGGACTGCTGTCCAGGTCCCAACTAGGGCCAACCAAGCGACATGTAATAAACCCCTGGAGACTGAAAAACTTAACACATGTTACTGTTACTGAATAATAAACCGAGAAGAGTGTAAATTAAAGGGGCTCCTTTACTTCAACAAGAACAAAAGATTTTTTGCATGAAAGTTAAATTATACAAGTAAATGATACAAGTTATGATTAGTGTTCCAGTTACTGTGTGTAAAGTTCATTTTGCATCAGGATGATCTTTCAAAGGCTTCTTTTGAAAATACTGCCTTCCAGCCCTCCCTCCAGACTCAGTCAAAATGCTGCCAAGAGAACAAAGCATGAGGTGACCTGACATTTTTGCTTTTGAACTTTGACAAAATCACCTTGTCCCTCACAGCCTGTGTAAAAAGTTACAAATACCATGCATAAATGCAAACAGTTTCTCTGGCAATTGAGCATTTGCAGAGACATTTGTAAACTCTTGTTAAAAACTTACGGATCACAATTGCACTAACTGGTCTAGGACGAGAGGCAAAATTTAGCTGCAGGTGCCTCATGGCCAGCCTTGGGTTTCAGTGTCAGCCCCACTCATTTTGCTCTGTGGGAATCGGGCAGACTACTTAACCCCTCTGCACCTCAGCTTTCTCATCTGTAAAACGGGATTGATTACAGTTCCTAGAGTCATCGAGTTATTGTGGGGATTAAATGAGATGATTCACATCAATTGCCTTTCATAGTACATGACAGAAAGTGCTCAATAAATAGTAGCTGTTATTATAGATACTTTTTACTTCCTTTTTAACTTACTGCCTCATTTCAAAGAGCATTTGGGTCAGAAGAGAATTCTGTTCTTCATTATAATAACTGATTATAGTGGTCTGTTTGGGTCAAACCTGAATAGTGCTGTGAGAACTGGTCTCGAATCCTGGCCTAAATCTCCTTTTTTTTAAAAAAAAAAAAATGTTTTAATTGATTTCGCAGAGGGAGAGAGAGAGAAACTTCAATGATGGGAGAGTCATTGATCGGCTGCCTCCTGCATGGCCCCCACTGGGGATCGAGCCCACAACCCAGGCACATGCCCTGACCAGGAATTGAACTGCAATCTCTTGGATCCAAGATCAACGCTCAACCGCTGAGCCACGCCGGCTGGACCTGGCTTAAATCTTGAGCTTTTTCATTACAGCTGTTGGATAGGATTTATGACAAACATGAAATAAATAGGATTTCCTGTTTTGCAGAAGCACTGAAGGCAATGGAAAAAGTAGCAAGCCACATCAACGAGATGCAGAAGATATACGAGGATTACGGGACCGTGTTCGACCAGCTCGTGGCGGAGCAGAGCGGAACAGAGAAGGAGGTCAGTGGGATTTCTGCGATCCCAGACGCTTTGTGCTCTGGGTCTACAGGTGACCTGCAGACCAGGCCGCCCCGCGAGGGCTTTCCCTGAGAACATGCCTAAAATTCTCATTTTGATCTCAATGCTCATAATAAACCAGCCACACAGTTTAGGTATAAAGAACAAATTCATTACATGGGTTTAAAAATGGAACCTTATGTCAACACTGTAGAAAAGAAAACAAGAAAGGTCTGAGCTCTTCCTCCTTTGCTGTGGGCATCAGGCGAGACCTTCCCAGAGGCGGCACTGGCTGGGGAGCACGGGCTGGCAGGCAGGATGGCGGGGAAGTGGGGGCCAGCACCTGGAGACGCTCGAGGGCTTGTTCTCTTTTCTGTCTTAGCGTGAAACACTGGTGGCTGCCTCCTGACTTAAAAAAGTAGTTTAAGTGGAACTTGACAGTTTCTCTATTTTTTTCCAGCTGATTACTAAATTTAAAATCTTGAGCTTTAAAAGTCTCCATATAAGAAGTGATGTAGTTTAAGTAGAAAAAGGCAAGAACAGAAAACAGCTGGAGTTTAACTTTTTATTACAGTCAGTTTCAACGTTGGTACTTTTTTATCAGCAGGCCCAGTGTAGTTCATGGATTAGAGACGGAAACTGTGCTAGATCCTGGGGAACATTAACAAAGGCACTTGGACGAACCCCTACCTTGCGGTGGAGTTAACGCTGTGGGCAAGAGGCCCGTCTTACCCACATGTGATATGTGCACTGAAGCAAAAGGCCTTCACAGTAGTTACTTTTCCAACAGTTTGATGCTAATTAGCTCATATTTTCAGAACCTCTGCTATTTAAGGCCCCATGTTTATAGGGAACTTGCAAATCCAACGGAATGTACTTGCCTGTTAGCAGTGACCACACATACGTGATTCACCCTCCAACACGCAACTACCTAGGATTTCCACGTCTCCCCTCCTGTTTTTCAGGTAACAGAACTTTCGATGGGGGAGCTTCTGATGCACTCGACTGTCACCTGGCTGAACCCGTTTCTGTCTCTAGGAAAAGCCAGAAAGGACCTTGAGCTCACAGTGTTTGGTAAGTATTCATCCACAGGCTGTACACCAAGAGGCTGGCCGTAATGAACTTGCTAAACCCACCAGTCCAGCCGGCTCCCCATTTCCAGGAGCCAGAATCAGAGTTTTTGACTTGACCACTTAAAGCTCCATCGCTTTGCATCCTCCCATCTCGTCCTGTCTGCTGCTCGGCTTAGAGGTTCTCTCCCCTGTTGCAGGGACAGAGCTCTGAGGCTATTTTATTTTTTAAAATATGTTTTTATTTCAGAGGGAGGGAGGGAGAGGGAGAGACAGAGAAACATCAATGATGAGAGTCACTGATCGGCTGCCTCCTGCACCCCCCCCTGGGGATCAAGCCGGCAACCCAGGCATGTGCCCTGATCGGGAATCGAATCTCGACCTCCTGGTTCCTTGGCTGATGCTCAACCGCTGAGCCACGCCGGCCGGGCTCGAGGCTGTTTTGAAACCTACTATCTTAATAGTTTGCTGCACTTCTTATTCTCGCTGAGAGCCGGCTCAGTGAGCATAGGGGGTGCATTCTCTCTCAGGCTTCAATAAAACAGAACAAGAATTTTTTTTTTAAATGACAGCATCTACTTCAGATAATAGCTTTCACATAAACAGGTACTTCTGCATAATTCAGCTATGAACGGAGGAAGTACCAGTTAGTCACTCATGTGCTGGCACAGCGAGATCCTGGAGCTTCCTAAGTTTGAAGAGCTTTGTTCTAATAAACATTCAGCTCTAATTCCACCTTGAAGAGTCTGTAGAAAATAATGGAAGACTTTCTCTTTCCTTTTCTTTAGTTTTTAAGAGAGCTGTCATACTGGTTTATAAAGAAAACTGCAAACTGAAAAAGAAATTGGTAAGACAAGAATTAATTTTAATTAAAGTTACCATTTCATGGCTGTATTTTCCGATTAATGTTGAACTGAGAAGCTGGGTAAGAACCCAGGCACCACTAACTGCTGTTACTTCTCCCCGGGCTAATAACCAAGTCAGACACTCAAGGTGTTTCTTAATCTCCCCACAAAAGATTCGGTTTTAAAAGATGTAGACAAATGCCCATGCTGGGCCTACGTAGAAAATCAGCTTTTATGTCCCTGAAAATGGCCCAGGTTTGCTCCAAACACAAGTCTTTGGTTTGTTTTCAAATAACTTTCACCTTGATTCAAAAAATTAAAAAAAATAAAATCAAGCTGTGGATACTATAAGCGAGGGGTGGGTAACTTCTGGCCCGCAGGCCGTAGACAGCCCATAAAATCATTTGGTCTGGCCCTGCCAAGGCAACCACAGGCGGGACTCAAAATTCAATAAATTGAGGAGCTTTTTTTCATAGCTAATTTTTAAGTTGATAGTTTTGTATAGCCTGCGAATGATGTTATAAATATCTAAATGGCCCTTGGCAGAAAAAAGGTTCCCCAGCCCTGATCTAAGCCATCAGCTTCCATCAGAGATGGGATGACTGTCATTCTTACTTGGAAACCTAGAACTCTGCTTCCCTGTCCCCTGCCCAGTCTGTGCGCCCCTGGAGAACGGGGCACGCCAGAGCTGGGCAGCCCGCACACCCGCACAGCCGCGAGGGGCCTGGCCCTGGGGAGCCCGCGGCGTCCACTGTGCCCCCTCCCGCCGAGAGCTTGCCCTAACACTTTCCTTGGGGACTTTCCCATTACAGCCCTCGAACTCCCGGCCTACACACAGCTCTGCTGACTTGGACCCGTTTAAGTTTCGCTGGCTGATCCCCATATCTGCGCTTCAGGTCAGGCTGGGGAACACAGCAGGTGAGTGTTCCTGCAGTACAGTGCCAGAAACACACCTCAGGAGACTTACTGGGATTGTGGGACGAGACGCAGGAAAGAACCTCGGGGAAAATTTTGATGTTTTGTGGGCCAGGAAAAATAAGGATGTTTTCTCATAGACTGTTAGCCAAATACCTTTCTTCATTATTTCCTTATTTTTACTATCAATACTTTCTCAACGTTTATCCTTGACACCCTAAAATTTGTTAAGGAAACAAAGGTCCACCAATTTAAGTTTTTATAAATTTAGATACACAAGGAAATTCTTTAAGCAGTATCATAAATGATGCAAAAACAATAATCTTCCACCTGTAAAACACTGAGAGATCCTTCCAGAACAGCCGTGTTCTGGTGACAGTGCCTCTGGTGATGGGCAGGACCAGCGGGCTTGGGCACGCAGTGACATTCCGGGTCCCTCTTTACTTTCTGCCTGGGTGCTGACGCTTTCCAGAACATGACTGTATCCGGGGCTGGCCTCTCTCAGATCCCCAAGCACATCCTCTTTACTGTTCCTTCCAAGGAATGGGGTTGGAAAGACCCATTTTACCTTTTCCCCAGAGAAATGGAACCAGGGACAGGGAGGGAGCACTAAAGGATTGAAAACTTCAGGAGGAAATGTGAAAAGTAACTAAAAAGTATTTAACTTTTTGTAAGTATTTGTGAAAGTCACACATAGAAGGAACCACATGATGAGAACCAGGGTTGGGAATATTTGATGTTTTAAGAAGTGACTCCATGATGAGCTTTAAACTTCACAAGTGCTCCTAACCGGGCTCTCTGGCAAAGCCGTAGACTGTTGTTTCTCTCGCCTTTTACTCAGGGACAGAAAACAGTTCCATATGGGAGCTGATCCACACGAAGTCAGAAACAGAGGGGCGGCCGGAAACCATCTTCCAGCTGTGCTGCAGGTGGGACTGACCAGAATGAAAGCCGGTGGCAGTGAGATGCAGTGATGGGCTCTTAACAAGGAGGTTGACTGTTAGTGCTCCCCTGACTTCCTGAGACGTCAGGATCACCCCCACCCCCTCAAGGGGCAGCTGCGGCTCTAGAACAGAACACATTGGTTAAAAACATGCCCAAGCCCTAGTGCTCCACGGACTCAGCTCTCGCTCCTTTGTAAGTGAGGAGACCAAGACGCACAGAGGTTGCGAGTGCTGCCAGTCTGTCCTGAGAGCGGTGAGGTGCCACGGCAGGGCCAGGGGACGGGCAGGAAGCATGAGGACACTGGACACTAATGCTCTTTTTTCTCTCCCTTCCCGCCCCCCCAGTGACGGTGAAAGCAAAACCAACATCGTCAAGGTGATTCGATCTATCCTGAGGGAGAACTTCAGGCGGCACATAAAGAGTGAACTACCCCTGGAGAAAGCCTGCAAGGACCGCCTGGTGCCCCTTAAGAACCGTGTTCCCGTTTCAGCCAAACTAGGTGAGCGCTTGGCTAGCGTCGGGTCTTCAGAACACTGAGCTCCTGGGGGAGGAGACAGGCTCCTGTAACCGTGAGAAGTCATCACTCTGTAACTTACCAGTAACTGGAAGCTCTAAACCAAACACCCCAATAACGGGCTGGTGTCACGGCAGTGGCAGCTCAGTTTCCTTTTAAGAAACCTAAACATGCCTCCTGCTCCCACACCTCCTTTTACAAAATACAATCACCCCAACCCCAGTTCCTCTTACCACCAGCGGACACTTAATGGATTAAGTTCAAGAAACCTAAATACTCCCTTATCCAATCAGGTCAGCAGGTAGATGTTGTAAATCAGGCTGTTCTTGCAGCTTCTGCCTGTTTCTAAAATTTCAGCTCAAGTTTTTACAATCTTCTTTCTATAGCAACTGTTTTGTTATTACCTTTGACCTTATTTTTACTCTTACAAAATCCATGTATATCTTTTTTGGTCACAGTGTGACCTCTTCAAATTTACTGTATATTTTCTATTTTTTTCTTTCTCGCCAAAATAAGCCATTGAAAATATGCTGCTGTCTGCAGAAGTACCACTAGAGCTCCTTTTCCCTTCAACCCAAGAGAAATGAATTAAACACACACAAATAATTATTCATGTTAAATCTCTGCAAGTTGGTTAGAAATTCCAGTAGATGCAGTTCTGTGAGCAAGAAAGAGCATTTTTCCACTTTTAATTAAGCAGCCAGAGGACGAAACAAGGTGAGAAGGTAGGTATAGGGATACGGTGTAATCTTGGTTATCAAGTTACACAGTTTAGTGAAGAAAAGGAACCTAGATTTTTAACTAACTTGGCAATTTATCCATTAGCAAAATAAGAATCCTAGCCCTTATGGTAGTTTATAGCTTATTTTTCTAACTAAATAATTGAGCTCTGATAACTGGCCATCTAATACCCCAACATAAAGTTTCACATAAAATTTCCATTTTTGCAGTATCTACGTGTTTTTTTGCCCAAGTTCCAGGATGCTTGGTAACTGAAGTGAGATGATAAAATCTTAAGTAATGAAGATGTTAAATCACATGACTTACAATGCAGAAATTTCGCATCGTGGCGTCTGTTTCTCTCTCATGAGGGGAAATGTGCTCTTCTCCTCGCAGCTTCGTCCAGGTCCTTGAGGGTCCTCAAGAACTCCAGCGGCGAGTGGCCCGGCGAGCCCGGCAAGGGCAGCTCGCTGGACTCCGACGACTGCAGCCTGAGCAGCAGCACCCAGAGCAGCGGCTGCCACCCGGCGGGGCGCGGGCAGGACGCCCTGAAACACCCGCCCTCGGGCCTGACGGGTTTCCCAGACAGTCTCAGAGAGAGTGACATTCTGAGCGACGAGGAGGACGACTACCACCCGGCCCTGAAGCCCGGCAGCCCCACCCAAGACATTGAGGTTCAGTTCCAGAGACTGACAATCTCTGAGGACCCAGACGCGCCCCCGGGGGAGCAGCCGGGCTCGGGCGCTCAGCCACGCAGGGAGCAGCCCAAGCTGGTCCGGGGGCACTTCTGTGCTATTAAACGGAAAGCGAACAGCACCAAGAGGGACAGGGGGACGCTGCTAAAGGCACAGACGCGTCACCAGTCCCTCGACAGCCAATCTGAAAGTGCCACCCTGGACCTCACTTCTGTCCTCGAGCGAGAATTCAGCGTGCAGAGTTTAACGTCGGTTGTCAACGAGGAGTGTTTTTATGAAACAGAGAGCCACGGAAAGTCATAGCACCATTCCATCCAGAGAAACTGGTGGTAAAGTGGAAATTGCAGAGAAACTAGTCCTTATTGGATTTTGTGGAGTATACATTTTCCCACAAGATAGTTGTAAAGATTTAAGTTATTTTAATTTATTGTGGATCAGAAAACTAGATTAAACTGGTCAGAATCTGTAAATTACTTAGTTTATATCCCATTTGAGCAGGTATCAAAATGACTTAGAACCCTTAAAACTGCAGTCTAATTAATTATTTTAATTTATGTGGAAAAGGAGGGGAAGTTGTGATTAATAGCTTTTAAAAAAGGTCATTTTGTTCAATCCTCTGGGCATTTCCTTTGAGCTGTTAGTTTTGCTTTATTTAAAGCATATTTAAGTTATTTTAATGTGGGTTAGGGGCACTGTGTGCAGATATTTCATTTTTGTAAGGCTGGAATAGATGCTGTTTATACTAATATGTCATAGCTATGCACATATATTAAAAGAAGCTTGTACTGTAACTTGATTATATTTATTTTCTCTATAAAGCTGTACAGTAAACAGGAAAAAAGTCACACCTGGTAACTGGTGTTTCTGTCATTCTGTAGAAGTCAGAGTACACAGGAGACTCTTGGCCCTGTGAGAATCAGCGTTGGGTGAGCTGCTAGCCCGTGAGGTGGCCACTAGAGTCTGTGCCTCTCCCTGTCACCCTGTGTCCTGATTTTTGCACTTATTTTTCCTGAGTTCTTCTCTGAAATTATAAGCAAAGAGGTGTGGGTCTTCATCACACATTTTCCGGTACACGTCACAGAGGCTCTTGAAATGGGAGACAGAGAGCTGGCTGGGGCGAAGAGTGGGGTCCACATCTGCCAGCTGTAACAGCTGGCCCGTGCACTCCAAGCGCCGAGCTTCAGGGAAGAGCATGCTAAGAGAAAAAAATCAGAATTTTATTTTAGCAGTTCTACAAATCACGGTGCTTCCTCCCACCCTCACTGGGAAATGACATGGTTCAGACCACTTGAGAGAGTGGGAGGCGGGCGGAGCCTTGGTAGCTCCAGCAGGGTCCAGGTCGAGGAGGACCTCTGTTCTACCGCCAGGCAGCAGGGCGACCACCGAAGGCAGAGCTCATCTGACCTGCAAGGTGTGTCCACAGGGAAAAATGTTTCTAAAGCTCAATCAATACATGCACCCTTAAGGTAAGTTTAAACTAATACCTGTTTAGTTGCATTCTTAGAAATATAATTCTGTCAATTCCTCATTTTTTTAATACGAAAGTTGTCTATTCTTGCGGGATGTGCCATCAGCTTTGATGCTCTATCATTTGAATGTAGCTTTCTTGGCAAAGTTAGAAAACAGTTGATGTGAAAATGCAAATGGTTATGTCCCCTCTGTAAGGTAAATTGATATGAGGTAGACATTTTATATTTCATCTAACTGAGATAATTGTTTTAAAATGCATAGCAAAACCGACACTGAAATATTGTAAAGTTTCACGTGGATTCTACTTTCTTCTTTCAAGTCTGAGAGGCTCTTCAGAGCTCTTCTCAAAGGGCTTGGAAGGGACCGTGGCCACGGAGACCAAGCCTGTCTTACAGCTAACGGTGCTCTCAGCAAGGAGCTGCATGCTCTCCACTCCCACTCAGGTGAGCTCACTGAGACCTACAGGCTCAGTTTCACGGCGAGGAGGGTCTAATGAGTTTCTAACATCTGGGATCAATCTGCAGTGAGACTGAAGGACAACCCAGGTCACAGTGGGGCCCACTACTTGGTCCCTATGTGCACAGGGGGATGCATGTGTGAAATGAAGGAAGCCCCTCACTTAGCTAGGGTGTTGTCTTGGAAACACCAGCTCAGGCCTATTCCAGAATTTCCGAAAGTAGGATAGACTGTGTATTTCCCTCCCCCACAAGTCAGGGCTGTCTTGTACAGTGTATGGGTCACACCTTGTGTGAGGGGTAAGTGTGAGCTGAAATCCAGCGTCTGTTCTACTCACTCACCAAGGACTGCATCCTGGCTGGGGCTGCACCTCCCAGAGCTGTGCTTTCATTCTCGTTAGTACCAGGTAGTGTGGCATTCCTGTCACTAACTGCAGCTTAAGTCTCTGCTAAAGTAGAAAAACTGGCCTAATTAAGGTTGACAAAAGGCAGGTTGAATGGCAGGACACCCAGTTGGTGTCTGCATAATTGGTTGGAGCTGAGAAAAACACCACACATTTGGGGAGTTCCTGAAAGATGGTGGCACAGGAAGACCCTGAACTCAACTCTCTCACAGTCATGAACACACTGAATATACACCTACATATACAGTGATTCCTCCTGAAAATCAACCGAGGGCTGACTGAACAGCTTCTGCACGAGAGAGGCTGCACAGAGAAGTTGGGGAATCATGAACCCTCAGGATTGGAGATGCCAGTGAGTGTTACTGTTTATGTTCCCCTCCACCTGTGCTGCATGGGTGAGAGATGGTTCAAGTGCTCTAGCCAACCTGGAAGGCTGCCATAGCATGCCCCAGGCCATACCTGGCCAGCTGGAATGCCATGGTGCCACTGCAGCTGTGTGCCCTGGGTTGCCTCAGCCAGCACCTGCTGGAGCCCAAGCCAGGTGGTCCCTCAGAGCACCCCAGGTATCACACGAGTCTGCTCCGGCTCCGGTGGCCTGCCAAACCACCTGGCATCCAGTCTACAAAGAGGTCCCCTCCTACACAAGGCCACTAATGTAATATTGTATGCCAAGTACACTTTAAACAAACAAACCCAAAAAACAAAACAAAAGACCCCACATTTAGTATCAGAAATGTCAAGTCAGCAGCTCCGGTGGTCTACGTCCTAACAGAAATCATGACCATCCCAGTGCAGGACTATCATAAACTGTGTGATTGTCAGTTTGGGGTTGTACTTATGATAAAACAACAAAACCACACCTGTGAGTAGCACCTGGGGTTAAATCAAGGTTTCTGTTTCCTCAGTTGCAGTCAACTGTTTGCGCATCACAGGATTTGAACTGAGAGTAATGTTTATAGATAGCTTGAAGAATTATGCAAAGTTCTTAACTTTTAAAAGAGTGACTGAGGATTTTATACCGAGTGCTGCCGAAAGGAAGAGGGAGCATTCTCACCCAAGTCCTCGGTGGCAGTATTTCCTCCGGAACTGAAACGCGTTCTGAACGACCTTCTCCACCAGCTGGAAGGGCTGCTCGATCCTGGGCAGCGTCAGGGGCGTGAAATGCACCACGCCCACATCCACCTGCATTGGAAGCAAACACACATCACACTGCTGCACGTGCAACATTGTAAACAACTGATCTTTGTAAAACACGGGGAAGGTGTTGACAAATAAGCCTTCCCGGGACCTGGTTTCATCTTCTCTAGGCGCAGGATGCTCCGCTTGCGCTTGAGCTGACTCAGAAATCACAGCTGGTTGCCTAGTTCTGTAATGACATCCACTAGACTGTGCTTGATGATTCCTTAATTTTAAAATGCAGTTTTACAGTGGCCTTTAAGGTCAATCCAAATAATCATTAAAGTCGGTAGGCAGATAACAGCATTGGAAAATGCTATTGGCTCCTGAATGAGTGAAAATAAGCTGCAGCAGCAGTTCTGACTGAAGACTGGGCTTCAAGACACACAGACAAGGCAGATGGGCCCCCAAGGACCACTTAGCATTACACTCCCAAGGAAGGGAATCAATTACGACACCACTTATTCTGGGTACAGACGACGATTCATCGGCTGGACGGAATTCACGAGTGTTGCACAGCCACAGAACTTTCTAGTACTAACTTTACATGCCCCCGGAGGCAGAGGCAGGATCCAAATAAAAGAAGGAAACCACCAAAAATGTCACTGTTTCAGAATTAAGCTGCTACCAGCAGTTGAGATTAATTATCAGAAAATAAAACTTTTCAGGCTTATCTGATATGAGAGTTACAGTCTGATATATTCTAAAAATGGATTCCTGGTGATTCACCAGGACATATTCAAAGTAACAAAGGAAAGATACTGAAAGTGCAGACAGGGAGAAACGTGAGTCACACACAAAAACGCCTGGCGGGGACCATGATCTAGGAAATGGGAAGTCTTGGTGATTTACAGGAGCAGTATCTCTAAGGAATTGTTAAACTTGCCACTTAGAACATACGCAGCCTCTACAAAGGCTGAGAGTATAGCAGTGCACGCAGTGAGGGTTGTACTGCTGTTTGAAAGGTTCTATTTTTTCAATTCTAGAGGGGTGATCATGTTCTCTTAGGAGGACTTGCTTCTAGAGGATCTTGTGGCTACAAAACTCGACACTAGCCCGTGCTGCATGAGGGGGGGCTACGTCTTTAAACACTTGCATGACATGAGACTCTTTGGACAAGAAAATACATAAAGAGAATGAGTGAAGGTATGCCCAGCGCAGGCGGCCAGGACGGGCTTTGGGAGGAGCCAGCGGTGTTTGTCCTAAGGGGGTCTGAGCTGCCTCGCTGGCCAGCTGACCGCCAGGCCTTCCCCTCCTGGAGCAATCACTGATCCTGTCCCCGAATGTTTTCGACGAGCGACAGCTGCACCAATTTACGGAACGAGAAATGAAGAGTTTGACGGTCGGGATGGTGTGGCCAGCAGAAGGGATGTTCTGAGCAATGGAGTGAAAACTGCCGGAGGAGGGATCTGAAAGCGTCCCCTAAATGTCCACCAGCCCGCTGGCTGTTTCAGTGAAGACCACGCCCTTAGATGGAATAGCAGTCACTCCACTTCTCAGTGACATCTGAAGACGTTACACGTTCTTACTAAATTTTAATAGTTTGCAAATTGTGTTCTGTGCTGCTTACTCAATGTCACCAAGTTTAGTAACAGGTACATCCTGCAGGAAACGAAGTACTTTGGTGAAAAGGCCAGGACTCTCCTTAGACCTTCACAAAATACCACAGAACAGTGTCCAGGGGTCTCAGAGGTTTGCGATCAATCAGAGCAGAGGACTGAAGAGGGTGAGGCACCGTGAGGTGGCCTGGGGATTACGCCGCCCCGGCTGGGAGGAGAGCTGCCCCTCGGAGCATTGACGCGGAAGGAGAGAGGGTACGGCCAGGAGCGGGGAAGCCGCAGCCCAGAGCACACCATGGTCTGTGACTGTCACACCTGCCCCTAAACTCTTCCCTCCTGCTCGTCCGGGGCAGAGAAGGAACCCAACTGTCTGGAAGGTTCTAGATCATTCTCTAGACTTTGCCCGACCCAGTCACTCTGTGTAACTCCCCATGGCCCTACCTCTCCTCTGCCACCCTCCATGACTCACCTCCCTCAGTCCTTTCAATCCGGTTCCCCCTAATTACCCAGGGTTGGTTCAGAAAGGAATTCTTCCAGTTACCAGGTATCACCCCACGCCTGCCAGTCTCCAGATAAAAGACTCATTAGCAAAATATGAGATAAATTCAAGCTCTACCTAACCCTAAACCCACAAAATATCAAAATCTAACATTCAGATCCTACTGAGACAGGGACTGACGCATCACCCTTCCACAGTGCAGAACCCGCCACTTCAGCTTCCCTGGGTTCAGACACTTGGCCTCGTCTTTATTTGCCTGATCCCATCCCCTTGAGATGCAGCTGGTGTTTGCAAATATAGGAAATGCCTACCGTTTGCCTAAATAAAGTTTTAAAATCTTGAGTAGAGCAAGCACCCCATGAAACTGTAGGAGTAGATTTCTAAAGTCTGAATTTGGTACCCAGTTGGCTAACAGTATGTTGCAGCTAAAATAAAATTTCCACTCATAATCGAATAGTTACACTTATTGGGGGACTCTGTAAGGCTCACTGTGAAAAGGGCTCCTCCAGTCCTGTGTCCTGCTTCTCTGGGAATCTCTACCCTCACCACCTCCTCCCTACCCTGCCCCCCACAGCACTTCTCAGGGTAACTCTGAATGATGGAGCCCCACTTTCTCCAAAACCACTGGAAAGCCACTTGGTAGCTATGGCAACAGATACAAAAATGCTTTTTACTTATAATTGAATGCTTATTTAAAATTATAACCGTTTTTTTTCCTTCCTGGATTTTAAATCTATTAAAGGATTTGATTACAAAAAAGAAGTCAGTACACAGGTAACAGTTCCTAATAATGTTGCCAGTCCTATAATTTCGGTCAAAATTATAGCTTTCTGTGCAGTGCAGGACCAAGTAACAGGCTGGAAAGGAAGACAAATTGCGGGAAAGGAAGATAAACAGAAAGGCTTCCGTGTGCAGTGGGAGCCTCCAAACTCCGTCTGTCAGTACACCAGAACAACTGGCTGGTTGACTGGAAGCTGGGTTTGGAATCAAGGATGCTTTTAAGATCCAGGGCGTGCCAAGTGGAAGGATGAGTTTGCCACTAATGGGCATGGGGAAACTTGGGGGACCTGGAGTGGGAAGGCCAGAAGCTCGGTCTGGTCCGTGATGGGTTGATGTCACGTCGGCAACTGGGTATACAACTTGGAGGGAGCCAGGGAAGATACATAAACTGAGGAGAAGATACACTAAGATAAGATTCATCTAGGGAAGTCTCTGGACTTAAAAAATTTAATTCCCTTTAATTCTGTCCACATTGGAAATACATAATTTCTCTATATATTTCTACTTGCCAGATCCTTTTTTATATAAGAAATTATGCCTGATTAAAGGTCTGTAGTTAATAGAAGTAGTTTGAATTTCAGAACTTGACCATTATAAAATGGGCAGTTCATATTGGATAAGTATCAAGGCAGAAGAATAATAAAAAATGCTTTGAAAATAGTAAGGTACATTAAAGCATGCCCACGTCATTTATCCTAGGCTAGCTGCATTATGGTGGAGGTCAGACAGAGCAGGGCGGTCCCTCACCCGCCATCCGTCAGCCTCAGCACAGGTGAGTCTGCACCAACAACTCTGGCAAGGAGCCAAACTCGCCCAGACACTCAAGGGATCTGGGGGGTTTCTTCTGATGCAGCAGTAACAACATGCTGCTCCTGTTAGTGCCTGAAATTCAACTCTACCTCATCCAGCACTTATACGAAGAACTGTTTATTATATTCCCATGAATTAAAAGAACGCAAGTTTATATAACATGATTAGAATAGTATAGCTGAAAAGCAAATCCACCGGCATTAGATTTCGAGTATCCTACTAAATGCCAGACTTAGAAAGATTTATTAAAACCAACCAACAAAAAAACAGCAAACAAAAAAAATCCAGAGAAGTGAAACATGCATTTTATTACTCACTGCTTTTAAAGAAATGGCTAACATCTCACATGGCTATCAGGGGTTTAAAATTTTTAACAATCCAAGCATAAAATTCTCTCCCTTTTTATACAGTGGCTATGAATTTATAGTTTATGGAAGTGAAATTACTGAGGAAGGAAAAAATGAGAACCCAGATAGATAGAGGTGTAATGTCTGTACCGTTATTCATGACCTAGAATCTCAATATTTGATTTCACTGTTGGATCTAATATGTTTCATCACATCATTCTGATGTAATTTTTTTTATAACAGTTTCTATCACTTCTAATATTAAATTTCACTCCAGAAACCTTTCTCAGTGGAGGAATTACAGAAGAAAATCCAGCCCCCC